GGTTCACCGTCCGGCAGACTACATTTAACCTAGAAATTAAATCGCACATTCTTGGTCTTTCAGAAAATCACACAAACTCTAAATCAGATTATTGGGCGTCTTACAAGACATTTACTATTACCTTGCATAGTTTCTATACCTCATCACAGAGTGTGGAAGTAAGCGGGCCTCTGAAAAATTTCCATGTGCTTCTACAGGAAACCAGAAGTTCACCGCTACTTCCGGTAACACAACATAATTTCACAAATTAATTACACATACAATAAAATATATACAATATATACATATGTATAAAGTGCAATGAATAATATAATGGTATGTGTTAACACGATGTACATTAATATATTAATTTGCAATCCAGGAGTTGAGTGAGGTAGAGCAACTGATGCCTGAATTCAGAGCATTTTTTCCCACTGGCACAGTTCTTCATAGTTTAGTGTAGTCGGCCGGATGAGCCTACTGCAGTTCAGTCCTATTTTTCTCTTGTACGCTACGCCGATCGACTGATGGAAAAGTCTTCTAACCTCTTCTCCACCATCTTCATACTGCCTTAACTGGACCCAACAATATCTTTCCGTTTCAGTCTTAGTCCAAGCCGTTCTCTTCTCAGTCGGTAGGAGCTAATTGGGAAAGTCTGCGGATGGCTCACACTACAGCTCCGCAATTGAGGCTATTTTACATACACACATACATATACATACATACACACAGAGTTTAGTTTCAGCATGCTTACCTGATGGTTGCAGTCCACCTCTTCCCACTTTTAATTGCCCTGGCTTCGGATCTGTATGGCCAACCAGTACTAACGGAAGTCTTTGGGATCACACTCTCCTGTAATGGCTATGACAAACGTGGTCTACGAAAGCGATTCTGATCTTGATTAATTGCATGGCACTCCGTTCTAGCGAAATTGCTCAAATTGCCCTGCTCTGAATCCAAGATCCGAACTGTTATGGGCTTAACTTGACAAAAGGTAAAATATAGTAGATCCACCGCTTTGATGGCATTTATTTCTATCCCATAAGATCTTGATACCAGACCGAGCCTTGTAATCTGACCCTTAATTGCCCTGAGGACAGGATATGATTTACCAAAATCATTCAGTCTGAGGTAAATTTAACATCTATTCTTCTTTGTTTATCCTAAGTAATGCAGATATATTCTTACATACACACGCAACTACGTAGCCTTATGCCTACCTAAGTGCCAACACACAAACAGAGATACACGCATCCGTCTTAGCAGCAGCGCACAAAACCTGTGACAAACCCCGCATTGGCGAAAGCCTAGTTCACGTAAGCTTTGAACTGTTTTTCATAATAGCATGTCTAGAAAATCCCTTTGACGTTACATTTATCCCACTTATGATAAACCAGTGCCCCTTGTGGCAATCTATGACGGCTTTACTCAACCACAAGCATGACATCTTCCAGAAAATATGCAGGAGCACTTGGTTATATCGCCAGTCACTTGGCCAACATAGCTGCTGTTTCCATACTAACCCAAGTTTAGATGGGATTTTGATGAAGTTACCAGATCCCTATGAAAGACAGTAGTCATAAGAGCACAGAAATGTGAAAATTCCATGTTTGCATATAGTCGTCATTTCTTTGAATCAGCCGACTCCTATTCTATAAAAGATCACAATTTAAGTCAAAGTGAGCTTGGCATTCGTGGTTTGTCATACCTCTTTAATGATGTTACTCTGTAGAAGAGTAATGTAATTCATTTATTAAAGTTTGTTTTTATTTAGCTGCTACGTGGCTTTCTCTGCTCTTACCGATACGAGCGTTTGATCCCGGGTACTGTAGCGGTTATGGTGCATTACTTGGCTGTGATACATCCCGATTTGCGTTAAACTGGGAATTCTTTGCCCATTCTTGACCTTCTTACACAATTTTCACCCTAACCGCCAGTAGTTCAGACATATCATTCTTGCGAGTTGCTATAGCCTCCATTTTCCCATTACATCGCCATGCAGGACGGGTTCACACCTCTTGCTGTGGCTCTCCAGCAGGGGCACGAACGTGTTGTGGCGCTTCTGCTGGAACGTGATTCACGCAGCAAGATTCGTCTGCCGGCACTCCACATCGCGGCCAAGAAAGACGATGTACACGCGGCCAGTCTTCTGCTGAACAACACTGATGTGGACGTCAACCACACCTCCGCGGTAAACCGCTTTTACTGTCTCTTTCAGACTTGTCCCAACCTACCCCAGCAAAATAGTCATACCGAAGCCCAGGACACTTTCAACCTTTCCACATGACCTCATTCACTCATGCACAAAAACATTTAATGCGGCACTAACTCGCCTGTTGCTCCCGTCGCCTCTAGAAATCGTCTGAAACGTCTTTGTTTAATGCCACTTTTGATACAATCACAATCATCTTGCTTGCTTGCTCGTCAGCATTTCAGCTTCGAATATTATTTCAATTTGTCGAAATTGCAGCATAGTAAAAATGTCTATTTGGGAAGCAAATCCTGTTGTTTTAGAGCTCACCTGTTAGCCTGTTAATTAGTCAAAATGAGGGATGAAATCTACCAGAAGACCTAATCTACTCCTGCTGGCGCCAGGGGGCATAGCAGTAATGTCCTTGCCTCAATGAAAGACGAGCAAATTTTTGCACCCGCTAGTCTACCACTTGTCACTAGACTAAATGTCCTATCCACTGGATATATTCTTTGCTTGGCTCTGTTGTTTACGTGCACAAATAACTCTGGCTCCTTGAAATGCAATCGAAAGATACCAGAATAAACGCGCGGATACACAAAGGGAGTGGATCGGATGCTGATGACGTCTTGATAATGTGGATTGAGTGCATCAACTGGAACATGAGAGATAAAAATATTTACCAACCGATGTTGGTAGTTGACCCGTCTGCAAAAAGTGTCGACAATTTGAATCCACAGAGACCAGCTTCTGCAATCGGATACAAGTTTGCTGGACAGCTTGAAAAATCATATATTTGCCCAATACACTCATACTCTCAAAACACATACTACTCACTTAAGTTCCCCACTTGATGGACATGGGAAAATCTCATGATCGCATTGATATCACTATCAATATCAGGATTAGTTATCGCGGAAAAAAGATCATTACTTTTGTTACACACTCATCGAATATCATGGACCCAGTGAAGTAGCAATTCCCGTTGGAATGAGGATTTGCTGGAGCACGCTCAATTATTCTCAGCATCTCCAACACATTATTTTTCGCCTTTATTGGCCAATTTATGTATTTGAATCGACATTCCACAATATGTGACCACCCGTTTATGGGTAGTTGATGTTATTTTTGACCTATGATATAAGCTGCTTTGATTCAAGACAAATCAGCCTCTATCTAGGTCGATCTATTATTTCTTCTCTCTATATAAAGATGATACAGGATTATCGTTGGCAACATCAGGGCCGCAGAGCTTGTGTGCGTGTGGTATTAGGTTAGATTCTGGAAGGAATAAGGTCATTCAACGATTGCTATAGTTGTCAACTGACTCAGACCTGTGGGACAAGTCGGAATATAGCAGTAGGCATTTTTCACGTTGAGTTATTTTCGTTGGCGTCTGCTCCCATGGGAGGCCGGGCGGCCTGTTGGTTGGCTCGAAAGCAGCCTAGGGCAATTCGGTTATAAATCAACATGAAAGCAGTTTTTCATTGGAGTTGCAGCATAATTCATAGCAGACCAAAGAAAAATGTGCAAGCCCAATGCAG